TCTGTGTGTTCAGAGCCCATAGTTTATCTTTTTGTCCCATAGCCTTATTGCTGGGATGAAGCGAGGGTAAGGCGGTACAGGAAAGGCCAGGGCGAAGCCTTCATTTGGCCAATCCCCTGTGACTCTCCGGGGAGTCGGATTATTTTTACATAGCCCGATCCATTTCGTTTACATTTCCTTGGAGCCTGCTAGTTCGCTCAAATCCCTCGCACCAAACTTCACCCCTAGTAACTAGCTCCGCCCCGCCAATACCGTATCGAGCGTCCACCCTCACCAGGGCCTCCACCGCCCTTTGAATCTCACCTGCCCCGCCCCACCATTGGCCCCGCCCATACCTGCTCAAAGACAAGGACACAGCGGGAGGCTGGCGGGAGCTGATATTTCACCGCTATGTGGACGGGGAGAATGCCAAGCACCGCGGTGTGGGCGACCAGCAACACGCAACCCAGGCCCACCCCCAGTGTCCAGGCCCCTCCGGTCTGGGGCCTTGCCCACAGCCTCAGGGCCTGGTAGGGCGCCAGCAAAGTAGACGAGAACATGGGGACCCATGTCATCAGAGCCAAGGGCAGCTGTCCGAAGCTGAAGATCAATAGGTCAAATTCCAACATCAGCCTTGGAGTGGGGAAGGAGAGACAAAGTAGACAAATGTGTAGCTCATCCTTGTCCCCTTCCTCTGCGGCCAGAGCTCTTGGAAGATAAACTGAGGTATCTTGCTAAAATTGTGAGCTCTCCATCTATGAAGGTATTCGAGATAGCACCTCTGTTGCCCGGGACTTCTAGCAAAGGGCGTTGCCTGAGGAGACTGTATCAGGAAATGGGTTTCCAAATGACCATTAGAGCCCTCTGTGAAGTTTGCGGTGTTGCAGAAGGGCTCCGTACTTCATCTGCGATAGGTATTAGGATGGGAGATATTTAGAGTTTAACTTTGATTTTCGTTTGTTTTGTTCTTTTGCAGTGTCTGTAGCTGTAGACTTGAGTTAATACAAAGCAGGTTGTCGAGTGTTTTGTTTGCTTAGATTAAGAGCATATGGTTTCAACGGTGAAAAATTGGAAACGACCTACATGTTCATTAAATGAACAGGACTAAGTAAACGAAACTGGGCAGTTCCAGACTCTGCATTCATTAAAATCAATGGACTGACATGGAAAGATCTCTAAGCTAGGTTGTTAGGGAGTGAAAACAAAATAATAGGTATAGTAAGTACCTTATTTATGTAAACCATACAAAATACATCTCTTTGGTTCTTACATACATGTGAATGGAATGCACAGAAAATGCTCTGGAGGGAAGCTCTCAAAATTGTTAAAAATGTTACTTCTGGGGAGCAGTCTGGAATTGAGGGGTGGTCAAGAAGGACTGCTACTTTACGTGTATTTGAACTTTTTACTTGAGATTTTATTCTTTATCAGATGATTAGCAATAATTTTACCTAAAGGAAGTGCTGTTGCTGAACTTGCAGACCCTTGATCCTCTTCTTTTTCCTGCTTCCTAAGCCCTACTTGGGGGTGGGGGCCATGCAAATATAGACCCCCAGGGGTGTACAGCCCTCTGAAGCTCACCCCAGAGTTGGGGGGGGGTCTGGGGGAAAATGACCCACCATAGCACTTATACACATGTCTGTCTTCCCCTCAAGATTGCGAGTGCCTCATAGACAGGGAGGGGGTCTGCTCCTCATCTTTCTGGCCCCCAGGGCTGGTACTTAGGAGGTGCCGAAAGGAGGTTACTTGAATTGAACAGAACTTAGAAAGAAGTGTGTGAGAGCAGAGGAGTGGGAAGTGTGCATCTGCCTTAGGACAAGATTCCTATTGAGAAGTATTTGAGTGGTTGTCCCCAGAGTGGTTGACTCTGGGAGGACAGACCAAGAGCCATCCAAAGCTGTGGAAAAAAGAAGCTAAGAGCGTGTTTTAGGTGGGAACGTTGTTGAAAACAATGCTGATGTGTGTGCAATAATCAAAGGGGAACCTGTGCCCCTTCGAGCCAGTGGTAGATACAGCCCTGGGGACCCAAGGGGTCTGATCCGATTTGTGTGCCTATCCCAGTCAGAAGAGGTGCCTACCTGCCTGCATCAATGAAGTCGATGGCCAGGGTGCTGATGATGAAGACACACAAGCTGGCGATGAACACGTGGTAGATGGTCCGGAAATGCTGCACCTCCATCAGTTCACTGGAGGAACAGGGGCCTGGATATCAGTGTGGGAGTGTCCTTAAGGTCATATGGACTAGCTCAGGCACTGTACATATGTGAGAATGAGGCCTAGTGATTGGGAACTTCCATCTAAGAGCTGGGGTGTGGCCAGGACATCTGTCCAAAGCCGTTTTCAGCCCAGACACTTCTTATTCTGGTGACCTTTCTTCCACAGTCACGCCCAGGGCAAATGGAAAAACTGAACCTTAAAAATCTTTTCCAAGTCCTCTCCAAAATCACCTAGAGCCTGGGGATGAGAACAGAGGTATCCTGGATCCCCAAAGCCCTTTCTTTTCTTCCCACCCCCTGTCCTCACTCCTGACTTACTCAAGCAGGGACTTGCGAATGATGAAAACTTTCCGTTTCCTTAGGGATGGCTCCTGGGTCCTGCATTGAGACAGTTGTCCTGGGTTGGGACCCAAAGAAAGAAGGCAGTGGGCAGAGGGCAGGACCTTGCAGAAGATCAATACTTGGGAGCCAAAGGCTATAGTACAGGAAGGTCAAGGCTTGGGTCAGAGGGCAGGACCAGGCAGAAGGTCAGGGCCAGGACATAGCAAGGCCCAGAGGTGGAGGTCAGTGCTAGGATGGCGGAGGCAGTAAGAGGAGAAAAGGGAAGGTTGAAGTGAGAGTCACGTGAATGCTGACAAAAGGCAAGTGAAATAATGTTTATGGTTTGTAATCCTTACGATGGAGGAGCCCGCTCCAGCCATTCCTCAGCCCCCGGCAACTCAGATTCTTACTTGCTCAAGGAATCTGGAGGGATAGTAGGCAGAGGTCTGCCTTGTAGTAGATAAGATTGTATTGCCTCTGACATGGCCTGATCCAGCAGCTCCAGCAGCTGACCCTGAAACTGCTCCAGCAGTTGCATCTTCACAGCCTGCAGGACAAAGCAGGGCTCACCGTCCCGTCATCCGGTCAGCCATACTCTCCTTCACCCAACATTTTAGTAAGTTCTTTGTGCCAGGCGCACTGCTAAATGCTAGATAGAAAACACGGTTCCTGCTCAGAGGTTCCTGCTCAGAGGTTCCTCAGGAAATTTTCCCCCTCTGGCTTCCCATGGCAGCAGTGAAGATTGAGGAAAAACAACAGGAGTGACACGTGCAGTCTCTGAGTCTGAATCCCAACCACCTTGTCATCTCTGACTTGACTCTTTTCCCTGACCCCAGCCTTCCCTCTCCTGACCTCTAGCCCCACTAACAGAAGACTCTTCACTGGTATGACTTTTGGCTCCTGCCCTGATGACCTGTGTTTCAAGCCCCCTCATCTTAACCTTTAGCTCTAACCTGATCTGAGGGGTTTGAACCCCCAAACAAATTGTCTTTATCACCAAGCCAGTCCTCACCTCCACCTCCCTTCACTACAGGACCTGCCCATCTTGATCTCTGACCTCTGAGGTCCCTTACCTCCATATGTCGGGTCCATTGCACCAAGTCTGAGCCTCCATGTGCCTCAACATTTCCTAAGAGGAGGGGCCAAAGGGCACACCCAAGGGGAAGGAGTTAGGGTTCTGCTGCCTCGTGCAAACCCAGAGGCATCCTCAGAGCAGGAAATGCTTTCTGTATGCTCAGCAGACTCCCGGCCCCCAACCAGTTGATATCTAGTATCATGGGTAGGACAGTCAGAAGAGGAAGTTATTTTGGCAGGGTGTGAGGGGGCCATCAGCAAGCAGGGAGCCTGACGACATTACTGGAAACAGAGTACCCAGGGAACAGAAAGCCGCTCCATTCACCCTCTGAGTTTAGAGAATCAGAAAGACAAGGCAAGGCCAGAGGTCTGAATGTTCCTTTACTTTTCCCTCTCCCAGCTGGATGGTTAGGGGCAGAGGCCAGGGTCTGCCTTCTTCGGCCTCCCAGGACAGCAGGAAGGATTGCAGGTGGACAGCAGGCCTTTCTCAACAGGGTATCCCCACGTCCAACCCCACCCAAGCTTTCTACCCTCCCAGAGAGTGGCTCACCTCCTCTGGACGGTCTGCTCTCCTGCTCTCCCCTGGGCCCTGCTCTCCTCCGCAGTCGGGCTGCCCTCGGCTCCATGATGTGAGTCTCGACTGACCAGGCAGCAGGTGGCTTCTGCTGTGTTCCCTCCTTTCTTTCCCAGCCTTCCAGCCAGGAGAGGTCCCATCTCTCTCAGCTCAGCTGACAGCTCCAAAGACTAAAGTCCTCTCAGGAGGAGGTGGCCTCCAGGAGTATGATAGGTTATTTGATCCGGAGGGCAGTGCTTCTCAGCTACAGGTTCTGCTGGCTGTCTGGGAATGAACTGGATGCAACCCTCCAACAGCCCAACCACACAGACGCCCAGCTCTGAGGGAGCCTGCTTTCTCTCCCACTGGAGTGGTGGCTATGCACGTTGTGGGAAATCTCTTTCCTAGCAGGCTGAATGAAGGTCGAGGTGGAGTCAGAAACATCTTCAGGTATCAGTGCACTCAGCTCCCTTAGACCACGAGATAAGGTGTGCAAAAGAACCTTGTCGACTCAGAAAACACTATATTGCATGTGATTAGTATTCCGATGGGTTTGACACCTGTGACAACTGTGGTGCTGTGGCTCCTCCAGGAAGTGCTGGGTGCTAAGGCCTCTGACTGTCAACACT